CCGACAACAAAGCATTGAAGCAATTTACTGGAAGTGCTGTTTCATTTGCTTCAGCCTTCGAGTCGAGAACCTTCCCTGCGTGGCTCCATCTGGAAATGGCAGTTACTTCACCGACAGAATACTCTGCATACAGTAGACACAGCTTACAGTTTGCATGATCATTCTCGCGAAATCCGCCTGGTTCGAGCTGGACGTATCACAGATACGAACGCAGGACTATATGATCCCGGCGGGACTGTTCCCTTCTGGATACATTCGTGTTGTCTTCAGAGGCTTCGTTTTGAATGAGCTGGCCTGTAAGGAATGTGGCGTGCATGGAAAAAACGAAGAAGGAAAAAAAGAAAAAGAAAAGAAAAAACCGCTGGTTCTATCATATTACCTCAGAAGGAAACCCTCTACCTGTAAAGTGGCTAATTTGTATAAAAAATTGTGGCTTTCATAAAGAAAAAGGTTTCATAGAGTTGTTTCAAAGAACATGCTAACGATTTCTTCTAATGGCTCCGCGTAGTAGCTCATAAGTTTCCACTCCGGGCAAACGAGACTAGATTGAACCAGGTGAGAGTAGCCAGCCTGAGTTGAGTGTACATCTTTAACTTTGTTTTTCTACACCCAAAACAGGTATTGTGGCTACCCAGGAGCCGAATGGTCAAATTCCGTAGTGAGGGTCAACGCGATGGAATCGCAAACTAGTATGGATCCAACCAAAACAGTGATGGACATGTGGGGTGCTCTACACCCCACATCTTATGGAAGAATCACATGGGATCAAGACTCACGTAGCGTCAATGACGCGTTCGGTTTGTTGTCATATTGCGTCACCGCAGTTTCGGAGTGCCCTGTACCGAATGTGGCTATTATTCCAAGCATCGAAAAACAGAAACGGGTAGAAACTTCCCCGTTTCTCATGTCCAAGAAATCCAAATTTGCAAACGAACAATCCACACGATAAGAAGCAAGCGCCCGTGCACGATGGTTGCAATTTCGTTTTGTTTGAGTGTTCTCCCTCACCATGGCGTTTGACCTTTCGGCTCCCGAGTACACTCTGAAACCTGTTTGGGGTGTAGGGAAAGACCAACAGCGGTGGAACCCATGGATAGTCATGTAATGTCAAATTCCGTTAAAGACAAACGCAACACCCTGCTCAAAACATTTTACCATAACGAAGATGAGCGTGTACCCGATTTTGTCGCTTCATGCCTGGAATATCAGTCACGTTCGATGCGGGGAAGCAATTTGATGAGAATCCGATTTTGTCATTGACGGCACAGTACGTGATTTTACCAGAACGAGGTTTGGGGTGCAGCATTGGGGCAGAGATATGCATGGCGCAGAAGCAGCCCACTGGAACAAGCTGCTGCTTTCGCCACCTTCTGCGACATATCGGTGTACCCTTGTTTCCCGGGCTAGATACTCCATGTTTTTAGGGACTGGGACTGAAAGCGTCCCCTGGACTTTGCGCTCCTCGCCACTGGAAGAATGAGACTGTAAGTGTGTTCGAATGTTACTGCTTTGTGCTTTCCGAAATACCTGGACTTTGCTGCGGAGTCCCTTGGGTTTTACATGCGCTAAGTTCCTGTCTTGGAAGGCAAGTTCCAGCTTTGTCGTTGTTTTGTCTGGGAAGAGTGCGGGCCACGTTTTAGAAACAAGGATGCGCTTGCCCGAGCTAAAAACACAAGGGATGCGATGCGGACCGCATCATCCGGTAGGTCCAAGTCAGGGCTCACTTTAGGGTTTTCGTCCACACGGCAGCTCCGGGTATCTCTCTCGCGGGACCCGGATAATGTGTTTATCTGGAACGTTACCCGTAAAATTCTGGAATCAGTCCTGGATTTTTTTCCGCGATGACAATCGCTCAATGCAAAAGTTTCTGGATTCTACAAAGGGAACCACGTAAGAGTACTGCTCTCAGCTTTTATACTTCTACTCCTTGAACTTCCTTGCTACGGCTGATGTGCCCTGGGTGGAGGGAATGGGGGGGAGGATCTGTGGGGTGGTGTGAGAAGTTTTAGTATCCGAATTTCTCAAAACCGAACACGTCAATTGACGTGTTTTGGTCAAAATGTACCCGTCAAATCAGGATTCATGAGAATAGAACACGTCGCAATCCGATTTTGATCATAAAATCACCCGTTATTTTATCGAAATCCGGGTAATTACTTGTACAAAATAAGCCTTGGTCCATGTGAGTGAAGTGAACCGTGAGGTTGCTGACTTTGGCAACAAGGGTACAGTACACACCAGCTGTGCTGTGCTGTGTTGCCAGATCCGGCAGCGATGTCGGGGTGAACGTTGTGGTGAACTTGTCCATTCCAGATTGTTATAATGGACCAGACTTGTGGCATAGCATGGGAGAATATAAATATTTGAAGAAAAAAATATGATTTTTAAAGGGACGACCCATTTTTCCGCGCGTTGTATGGTTTCAAAATTGAGCCAGAACGGTCGACCCCTTGCGTTGTTCCTCCTCGTGTGTACATACTCGGAAGTGCTTACGTTTTTTGCACAAAAGTCTTGGGCAGCCTTTGCTGAGCCTGATATTAGGATAAGGACGAATGTGAGATACGATATTTTCGGAGGGGTACACCCCTGCAATCCGCATTTACCGCCACACGAGATCTCGCGAGACCTCGCGAAACCTCGCGAGGTGAAGCCTGCACGCCAACAGGTAATGAGCAAGCCTTCCACTAAAAAGGCAATGACCCTAAATGTGGAAAACTTAAGGGTATTGTTTACTCTGTTTTTTAACAGAGATTTTCTCCGTTCAACTTTCCGAAATGATCTCGCGCGACACTAAATCCGAAGAAATACTTTCTTTAGATCTGTATGGGCTATTTCTGTTGTAAGAGTGGAAGCATGTAGATTCCTTGCTAGCCAAATTCATGACGGGTTATTTACGGGGCTGGGGGGCTCGTTTTCGTAACTGTACTGTAATGGCATGTTTGAAAACTGTTCACAACGGCGTGCTCCACACCACAGATTGTGTGTATCCGAAATGTTTACCAGGTCATCCGAATTGCCCCAACTATTTACTTCGAATGAATACGAAAATGTGAATAAAAAGTCGGGGGTCGACCGTTTTCGCCTGGTTGACGAAACCATACATCGAGCGGCAAAAAGGGTCGAGGATTTTTTGGAGCCCAACTCGATTTCCCTCAAAGCGCGCAATTTCGCCCATGGCATCCCATCCCTCACTTCCATTCCCTTTCCTTCCATCCCATCCCATCCCATCCCATCTCATCCTATCCCATCCCATTCCATCCCCTTCTTCCCGCTTGCAGCAATGCAACGCGTGAAACCACCTCCAAACAGCACACGTTCCCTCCAAGGCGACTGAACAAAACGATGGTTGCATCAATTATATGTGGTACCTGTTGGCCCAGCCCGCTACCGACTGGGTTAAAAGGGCATGTTTTTTTGTGGTGGGTAGCGCACCCATTACCCCCCAGGACGGACCTGTAGCCCTCCCACACTCAACTAGGACGATCCCAGTGCCCCTCCAACAATCTCCCCCTCACTGGGGTCGTCAGGGCACCCGGCGCCTCGTCTGCGCACACTGGGATTCGAACCCTGGACCTTCCAGGCTCTGATACCACTGTTGGCCCAGCCCGCTACCGACTGGGTTAAAAGGGCATGTTTTTTTGTGGTGGGTAGCGCACCCATTACCCCCCAGGACGGACCTGTAGCCCTCCCACACTCAACTAGGACGATCCCAGTGCCCCTCCAACAGTACCCCTCCCCTCTCGACACTGGAAGGAGCATTTTGGTTGAACCCAATCACCCAACCCCCTTTCTTACGGGCGTGCAACAAGAGAACATTATTCAGTTCGTTTTGTGCGGTTGAGTACGGTACTTCACGATTTCTAAAGGTTCGATTTCTGCCGAAAACGGTCGAGTACGGTATTACTCGAAAATACACTTTTGTGACACGCCCTAACTGAGGTCGAAACTTGTGCCCTCGCCGCCGGTGCCGGGCCAACCTAACAGGTCTCTGAGAGTCTGGGGTCCAATTCGAAAACTGAGCTTCGCCTAGTTTCGCTGTCGGGAAACGAATTTTCGAACAGAATCTTAGGCCACTTCAACAGGATGGTGCAGACTTTGGTGCAACACGCGGCGTCGGATCAACACGCGGCGCTGCAACAGCATCAAGTGCAACACGTGGTGCCGCATCAAATGCAAGACGCGGCGCAGCATCAAAGGTTCAAATGGAAGAAGGCGTCACACAAGCGCATTGTGGGCCAGCAAATGAAAAGGTACTACCAGGAAGAGGTACTGTTAGGAAGAGGTACTACTGCCAGGAAGAGGTACTGCCAGGAAGAGGGTACTACTGCCAGGAAGAGGTACTGCCAGGAAGAGGTACTACTACTGCCAGGAAGAGGTACTGCCAGGAAGAGGTACTGCTAGGAAGAGGTACTGCTAGGAAGAGGTACCGCAGTGCAATGTACTGCCAGGAAGCAGTGCAATGTACTGCCATAAAAAAGGTACTTCTATGAAAAGGTACTGCCAGGAACAGGTACTGCCAGGCAAAGGTACAGCTAGGCAAAGGTACAGCTAGAATTAGGTATGTTTGGCACACTTGTTGCTGCACTTGCTACTAGTTCCTAACAGTACTATGTCCCAAAATACAAGGACCAGAAATACGGAGTAACTATACACTAGGTACGGCATAGGTACGTCTGCTACGGAGTAGCCTTGCTATACGAACAAACATACCTACAATATAGGTGAGATCCATGTTTTAAAGTAGTGCTTTATCTTCTTACCTGACAACCCATGTTCTTACCAGGGCTCCTTTTGGAGGGATATCTGAGACTCGTTGACACTTGACATGATCATCGCTTTGTGTTCTGAGTCAGCACCCTGCTGCTAGCAGGCTGCTGGTTTTTCCTTCATCCCTGTCGGTGACTGTACTTTGTGTGCACATCTTAGCAAATAACAAACTTCTGTGACATGATCCTGCTGTCCTGTTTCCCCTTGGTGTCTGCCGCAGACTGTACTTTGTGTGCGCATCGAAGCAAGCAACGGGCTGCATGGCAAAGAAGATCGAAGACCGCGTCGCTGGAGAGGCCAGGCACCACCGCTCAAGCAGCAGTGCCAACCTTTCGAAGCAGCATCAAGGCGCGGCCACCACCTCCAAGGCTGCCTTCAGGGCCGCTCCCTTTACAACAAGAGCATCCAATCCTACTGCGGGTGCTGCAGGCGCCGCTGCATCTGCTGCTGCTTCCACCGCTGCGGCTGCCGATGCCTCTACCACTGCGGCTGCTGCTGCGGCTGCTGCTGCGGCTGCTTTGGGAGGATTGAAAGAGGGCGAGGTGGTTAACACTGTGGAGGAGAGGCCACGGACTGAGATGCGAGTGGTGGTGAGGACGACCTACCACGGCTCACATAACCACCCGCCGCCAGCTCCCGATGCTTCTAGAACGAACTTCATGTGCTCGTCTTCGAGCTGTCCTGCTGCTGTGATCTGCGCCTCTGCTTCAACCTTCTCCCCGGTTACACCAGGTCATTCTGTTTCATCATGGACGCCTGTGCCAGAAAGGCCTCCTGCCACAGCCTGCGCTCCTTCTACAGCCTGTACTCCTGCTACAACCTGCATTCCTGCTTCAAATTCTGTTCCTGCGACAGTCTGCGCACCTGTTACATCCTTCACTCCTGTTACATCGTTCACTGCTGCTACATCTTTCACTCGTGCAACATCCTTCACTCCTATATCATCCGTCACCGCTGCTACAACCTCCGCTCCTGCTACAGCCTACAATCCTGCTACAACCTCTGCTCCTGCTTCATCATGTACCCCTGCTACCCTTTCCCTTCCTGCTGCAACCCGTGGCCCTGCTGCTGCTGCAATCTGCGTTCCTGCCATAACCTGCGCCCCTGCTACAACCAGCGCTTCTGCTTCTGCTACAGTTTCCCCTCCTGCTATGACTTTCACTCCTGCTATGAGCTGTCGTCCTGCGGCACATCACATGGCATCTGGAGCCAGCAGCCCACCCTCAGCTCCCAGCAACGGATGTGCCTATTCATCAGATTTTCTGTATGATCCAATTTCGGCGCCGTGTCTCCCCCCTACAAGTACTACGCCTCCTCCTCCATCTCCCTTCCCTCCGATGCTCGACCCTGCATTCCCCCGCCTGGCTTGTGTTGCGTCAAATGGTCGCCAATCTTTGCTAAATCAAGGTACAATTCAAGCTGGAACCTTGGTGTACACTCAGACAGCGCGAGCACTTGCTTTGGTTGGCGCTTCTACAGCCATTACGGATGGCGACCAGCACACTCCGAGTTTTAATTGCCTGAATCTGCAGGAGCATGGGTATCAGCAACAGAAGCAGCTGCAGCAACATCAGCAGCATCAGCAGCAACAGCAGCAGCAACAACATCAGCTGCAGCAGCAGCAGCATCAGCAACATCAGCAACATCAGCAGCAACAGCAGCAACAACAGCAACAGAAGCAGCAGCAGCAGCGGCATCAGCAACATCAGCAAAATCAGGAGGAGCAGCAGCAGCCACGTCAAGTGCCTTCATTTCTCCTCTGCGCGGAAGACCTCTCTCCGCTAGTGAATGCACCCACCACCCAAGTAACCACCAGTGGCGTGACTACCACTGACACGACCACCACTGTTGTAACCAACACTGGCGTAACCACCACTGACGTAACCACCAGTGGCGTAACCACCACTGATGTAACCAACACTGGCGTAACCACCAGTGGCATGATCACGAGCTGCGTAACTACTACCAGGGTAGCCATGCATGCACCTCATGCCGCTCGACCTAATGCATACCCGCTCACTTCGGAGGCACTACCGCTGGCTGCAACCCCAGTGCTGCCTACTGCAGATGCTGCTAGTAGTACCATACATGGCAATGAGGCGACTTTTGGCTCGACTCATAACTCAACTGCAGGATTGTGCAATGCAGATACTACCATTACCACACACGGCTATGCCACTGGAACCGCCCCCGCTGCTCATCCTGTCATGGAGGAAAGTGCACGGTTCCAGTACCCCTGGGCCTGTCAGCCGGTCAACTCCAACAGTTGCAGTTCAGCAGTGCCCCTGCCTGAGTCATCACCTCCCAAAGCTGCTTCCCTTGTAACCACCAATGCTCGTGTTACCACCACGCCTGGTGTAACTGCTGATGAGTGTAACCCTGGTGCTAGTGCATTCTGCCCTTTGCTAGGGCCAGCTAATCCTGTTGCCATGCCTGTATGGGACAGGGTTTCGGGTCCGTCGCGTGATGCCTGGACTGTCCAACAGAGTACAGCCCGTGATGAGCTGAGAGAAGATGAGGGGTTGAAATACAGGCACCTGCATGCTTCCCACCAGCAGCATTTCCAGCAGCAGCAGCAGCAGCAGCAGCAGCAGCAGCAGCAGCAGCAGCAGCAGCAGCAGCAGCAGCAGCAGCAGCAGCAGCAGCAGCAGCAGCAGCAGCAGCAGCAGCAGCAGCAGCAGATGGGGTCGCAGCTTCAGGAGCAGCAGCAGCTGCGGCGAGCTGTTTATATGGCGGACTGTGCGGGCAGCAGCCATAGTTTCAGCAGCAGCAGCAGCAGCAGCAGCACCTGCGCAGTGGGGCTGCCTGCTGGTCATACAACTCTGCATGGGGTGGTTGCTGAGGCGCCTCAGCAGTCAATGGGGCTGTCTGTGCGGCGCACACCTCTGCACGGACTGAGTACAACACCAGGCCCGGACATCAAGACCAGCTGTGCTCTCACCAGCGCTAGCATGAGCATGCATTCCTGCTTTAAGGGGGCCAGCAGCTGTGCCTACCCAGGTCAGTTGAACGGGGTTGAGAGCAACGGCATGGGCATGGGCAGCACGGGTAGGCGCTGCTTCACCGATTCGTGGCAACGCAGTGAGATGGGTGATGCTGGGCATCGGGCTGAGGAGCAGGTTGGGGGTTTGGTTTCGGTTCCGAGTGGGTGCCTCGATGAGCTGTACTTGGCCCCAGATGAGCTGTACCTTACCCCGGATGACATCAGCAAGTGTGAGGTCATGATTCAAGGTAGCGGGGACCTGGAGATGATGTATGTGCCGGCTGCTGCGAATGCATGCAGCAACATGGATTCCATGGTGTTTGATTGCACAAAGGAGGAGCTCTACAGGGCGCAGAGGGCACTGCAGTGAGGTTGTGGCTCTACGAGCTGAGGGTTCACCTTTCATCTTAAGTTTACTATGGCTTGTTTTAGTCTGACTTGTGAAGTGTTCTAATTTGAACGTTGATAAGTTTATGTGTATTCTCTAATGGTGTGGGTGGGAGAGGCTGCCGCAGCTGATGTCTCCACACCACATGCAGGATGTGGGTGGGTGGGTGGGTGGGCGGGTGGGTGGTCTCCACATCGCATGCAGGATGTGGGTGGGTGGCTGGCTGCGTCTGGTGTCTCTCCACACCGCATGCAGGATGTGCACATGAACTTGTCGTGCCAAGTCCATACATGCATATTGCACATAATACATGCCTAATAGTACCTGCGTCTGGTGTTAGTGACGACAATGACTTCGTACCGCACACTACAAATCCGCCATCTTTCCCAGAGGCACACATGACAGCCAAGAAACCCCTGCTGTCACCTCCTAGTGCAAAGTGTCAGCCCCACATACAGCCTGTCATTGACGCATGTTGGAAATATCTCAAAGGACTTAAGCGTTTCTGAAGTATAACACTACACTTGAGGAAGATCACAACGGGTACGCGAGTCAACGGAGGTTACACAAGGGGATGGACAAAGAACGCGAAGGGACTTGAAGGGTCGCAACTGGAGGTTGCGACTGACCGTTACAACAGCGCGGATGGTAACTGAAGCGACAATCGAGTCGCTGTGCGACTCGATAACCGCTCCTGCAACTGTATTCTACAACTGCTTTACTTTCTTATTTCCTATATATTGCTGTATGCTTGTTTCTTTAATCAATCACTTGTTCTCATATACTAGTACAAGGGTTCAACTGCCTCAACTTCCGCTGCACTACTCAAGTCTCATTCTACAACTGGGACTTAGTCTCTGGAAAGATCCTAAGGGCTTTTTCTCAGCCCAACATGGTATGAGAGCTGGTCAGAGACCAAACTCCCAGCAACTACGTTCTATCTACAATCTGCAATTCAACGACTTCATTAATTACAAGCCATGGACAGCAAGAAGACCTCTACGGGCTCACCCAGCGCCCAAGACATTCAACCCGGCAACTCTGGATTGCATACTTCAGGAGTGCAAACCGAGACCGGCGCTGCTCAAGAAACAACAGGAAGAGCACAGGAAATGGTGACCCCATCACCCTCTTCAAGCGTGGATCCGAATCTTATGGAAAGGTTCTTCAGCTTCATGTCGCACTTCGAGCAGCAGCAGCAGACAAGGACACCTGCGCATTCAATACAGAGCAACGGAGGAAACATGGGATTAGCGCCGATGAGCCTCGACAATTCATCGTTCGGGCGACACAATCAAGCGCCTACCTTTGCGCCTTATCACTCTTCACCGGGGACGTTCGAGTTCATGCCGCCCCATGCCCAACCAATAGCAGCTGCATCACAACAGACACCAAACGAGATTTTAAGTCTCCAGGCGCAGTTTTCACACGTGATTAAACTGCAGACATCATCACCATTCAACGGACACGATTTCTTTACCCGGAGTTTTGAGTTCGAGCTGCTGATGGAGGCTGCGCATCTCTTGGGATACTTCAACGGGTCCCTGCCATTCCCAAGCAACGGCACTGCAAAGGAGCAAGAAATATTTACTTATCAGTCGCTGCTGGCGTACACAGTTCTCCTGCGGAACCTGTCATCACAAGAACAGCAGAGCATCAGAACATATCGGAGCTATGGAAACTCCGCGGAACTCGCATGGCATCATCTCAAGTGTCTCTATCAAGCAAACGACAGCGTGACACAAAGCAGACTCATGCAACAACTGACAACAATACAGATGAAGACCGGGGAAAAGGCGATGCAGTATATGAGTCGCTGTCAGACCCTCCGCGACCGCCTGCTTCGGTGCGGAGGAACAATCACTGAAGAAAGCTTCGTGACGCTTGTCCTCGCCGGGCTCGGGCCAGAATAGAGAACTACACGCTCGCTTCTTTGCGCCCACGGAAGAATCTCGGAGATGCACCTCTGCGCCGAGCTTCACGCTAAACAACAGGAGATGGACCTGTTCGAAGAAAGACAACCAAGGAAGCAGCAGCAGTTAGTTTTCTACACTCAACGAAGGAACGACAACAACTACAATCGACGCGGCAAGCAAGATCAACGCGACAACAGAGGACTCACCTTCGTGCCGCCGTTCTGCCACAACTGTCAGACTTCCGGACATTCCAAAGTCAACTGCACACGTCCTCGTGTTTATCGTCCAGTAGACCCACACGTCGCCTCCACTCAAGAAAGCCCTCCAAGGCGCTCTTCCACATCTGCACAAGGGACACTGAACATCATTAACTGCATGGTACACATCGACAACTGCGCACCCGGATCACCACCCACTTACGCACCAGACGAAGAAGAACTTCCGCCGCCGCGCTCACAAGGACTTCAGGTCAACCCGACATACGCTGCGGTCGCCAACGCCGAACCCACCGGGCGAAACACCTAGTTCTTGGACAGCTGCTGCGGTCAACACATGCGTTCTTCCGGACGCTTCGTGCAACGAGAGCGACGCCTCAACCGCGACGTCATGATCACCGTCGCCAACAACGAGAACCTGAAAACAAACAGACAAGGCGTGGTTCAGTTACAATCCATGGAGACAAACGTTATACTTCAACTCAACAAGGTCCTCATCGTCGACAGCTTGGGATACAACTTACTAAGCGTAAGCCAGCTAATGGCAAAAGGGATTCACCTGGAGTGCGACTCCTACTCCAACGAGTTTCGCCTTTACCACGGGAAGGGCGGTCTCTTCATCGGTCGTGCTCTCTTGAAGTCCGGCGTCTTCGTGTTGGACTTCGTCCCCGACCGCGGCACTGCCGACAGCGACGGAATCGTGTCGTTCGCCGCCTGGACACACCCGCCGGATCTTGACCCCGACTTCGACCCTGACGGATTCTGGCACTCCAACACCATACATGCAGCAGAGAGAACACGAGCATTAGCAGTCATAAGACAAGAACGGCAAGTACCAGCAAGTGTCCCTTCCCAACCATCACCTGCAGTAGCAGCAGCAGGACCCAGCCGAGTACCACCACCAGCGATCCGAAGACCGCCAACCGAAGCAGATCAACTTATGCCCATCACACGAGAAGTCTGTCGAAGTCTCGCCACAGTCGTCGCGTTCTTCTCCAACACCGACATATACCACCGCTCACCCGGCCATCGCGCTCCCGACGACATCTGGCACCAACGACTCGGGCACCCTGCAAACAGTACAATACTGCAAACCATCCAAGCCGAAGTGTTAGAACGCAACGCTCTCCTAACAACGAGCGGCCAAGAACTTCGACGACCACGCGCACGGTGCTTTACGTATCCCGAAGCCGATCTTCCCCACCAATCTTTCCCATCTCATCACAACCCAAGCGCACCTGCATGCGCGCCAATGGAAAAAGTCTACAGCGACATTTTAAACATGCCACGAGAAGACACTGAAGCCGACTTCAACTATGTCATCACGTTCATTGATGCAGCAACAAGATACGTCTGGCACTACAACCTCAAGACGCGCGATCAAGCCTTCGACGCCTTCACAACATGGCTACCCATCGCCGAACGAGAATCCGGAACCAAGCTCAAGAGCTTCCAGTCAGACGGTGCATTGGAATACCAGTCACAACGCTTCAGGACCTATCTGGCGGAAAGAGGAATCAGACGCCTGGTGTCTCTGCCCTACGCTCACCAGCAGCAGGGGGTCGCAGAACGCATGAACCGGACCTTGCAGACGACGATGCGAAAGCTGCTCCTGGGGATGAGACTGCCCACCACACTGTGGCCAGACGCGATGACACATGCAGTCCACCTGCACAACCTGTTGTCCTCGTCATCACTTCCCAACAACGCATCACCGCACCTGCTGTGGACATAAAAAAGGGGCAGCACAAAATTACTTCGAGTTTTTGGCTGCATGGTACAGTACAGACCCCACACAGCCCGAGCAGGACGCTTCACTCAACGAGCTCGATGGGGACTACACCTCGGCATCGCAAAACATTTTCACGCATGGAAAATCCTCGACATACAAGACAAAAATACAGTGGCATCACGTGATGTTATCTTCTACGAGCGACTGACGCTGCAGCATTACCTGGACAACATTGCCACCACACACGACCCCACCGACGGCTTCGCAGGCCTTCGTTCCTTCGCCGACCGTGCTGCCGAGGCTGACGCAGCAGAAGAAGACGTACCTGGAGCCTCGGAAGCTGCCGGACCACTCCCTTTCTGTTCCGTACCTGTTCCACTCGACGAAGACAATCCTCTCGATAGTAACAACCTCGACACCTTTTACCACTTCGCTGACCAAGGTTACATTACACCCCACCCGGTCGACACAAATGTTTCAGAACGCATCGGCCCCAACTTCTTACCTGACTCAGAAGACGGTGACGAAGCAGCCTATTCCGGGAATGAAAATTCCCCTCGACACACACCCACGGGACTGCAGATCCTCGGCCTCTGGGTCTCCGTCCAGCATCCGCCGCCGCCATCTCCGCGCGAGCCCTCGACTTTGTCGCAGGCTCTGGGGGGGGGAACATAAGGCGAAATGGAAGGAAGCGATGGAAAAGGAGCTAAAGGCTCTGCAAGACCGAAATACATGGAAGCTGGTACCTGCAACAAGCATCAACGGGAAGAACGTCCTCTCGGGAAAATGGGTGTACCACATCAAGACCAATGCGGACGGCTCCATCAAATGATTCAAAGCTCGATGGGTCGTATGAGGCTTCGATCAACGATACGGAACCGATTACACAGAAACTTTTGCCCCAGTCTCCCGTCACACCTCCCTGCGCATCCTACTCGCCGTCGCGGCCACGAAGAAACTACCACTGCGCCAAATCGACGTCGCAAATGCTTTCCTGTACGCTCCTGTGGACGCCGAAATCTTCGTCGAGCAGCCCCACGGTTTCATCGACGACCCTACAAAAGTATGCCAGCTGATAAAATCCCTCTACGGGATCAAACAAGCTCCGCGGCTGTGGCAGCAGCACCTTCACGGTCGCCTCGTCAGAATCGGCTTCCTACAAGTGCCGCACGACCAAGGCATGTATCGACTACAGAAGGAAGGAGCCTTTATCCTTCTCATCGTCTACGTCGACGACCTGCTCTACATCGGCTCCACTACCGACATCGCCACCTGGTTCGAAGGGGAGCTGAAAGAAGACTTGACACTCACGGTGTCCGACGCAGTGACCCAGTACCTGGGACTGAATGTCGTCGAAGACAACTCGGCGTTCTACCTACACGCTGGAAAGTACGCAGGCACCGTCGCGAAGAAATTCGGTCTAACGCCGACTACGGTTCCAACTCCCTACCGCTACGGGAACAACAACAGCACCTCCGCAAAACTCCCCGCGAAGCAAATCCAGGAGTATCAACAGAAGCTTGGCTGCCTACTATTCGCAGCAGTAACCTGCCGACCCGATCTCTCTTATAGCGCGAGCCAACTGGCGACGCATCTGAAGCAGCCGGAACAAGAAGATCTCGAGGAGCTCAACCGCGCACTACTCTACTTCATCTCCACGCCGACGACCGGGCTTACCTACAGCAAAGTAACAACACCGCCCGTACGACTACTCGGATACGTCGACGCCGACCACGCGGAAGACAGAGAAAATCGACAATCGAGAACGGGCTACATCTACCGACTAGAACCTATCGGAACTATCTCCTGGCAGTCGAGCAAGCAGGAACTAATCGCACTATCTTCGGCAGAAGCAGAATATATCGCCCTCTGCACTGCGACCAAGGAAGGACTCTACCTACGAGAGTTGCTCGAGGAAGCGAAGATCGCGACCCTGCCCGTCTTCTCACTCCTCTGCGACAACCAATCTGCAATCAAAATCGCGAACAAGGACGGCTTCGCCAACCGAACCAAACACATTGCCCTGCGGTATTTTTTCGTCAAAGATGAAATCGCGAAGGGGAAACTTCAACTCAGTTACTGCCCTACAACAGAAATGGCCGCAGACTACCTGACGAAGAAACTGGCAAAGGCGAAGTTCGATTACTGCATGCTGCTGACCGGACAGACAAACGTCACCGGATCTGAACACGTCAGCACTCCAGAAACGAAGGGGAGTGTTGGAAATATCTCAAAGGACTTAAGCGTTTCTGAAGTATAACACTACACTTGAGGAAGATCACAACGGGTACGCGAGTCAACGGAGGTTACACAAGGGGATGGACAAAGAACGCGAAGGGACTTGAAGGGTCGCAACTGGAGGTTGCGACTGACCGTTACAACAGCGCGGATGGTAACCGAAGCGACAATCGAGTCGCTGTGCGACTCGATAACCGCTCCTGCAACTGTATTCTACAACTGCTTTACTTTCTTATTTCCTATATATTGCTGTATGCTTGTTTCATTAATCAATCACTTGTTCTCATATACTAGTACAAGGGTTCAACTGCCTCAACTTCCGCTGCACTACTCAAGTCTCATTCTACAACTGGGACTTAGTCTCTGGAAAGATCCTAAGGGCTTTTTCTCAGCCCAACAACGCACACGTAGCCGCTGTTCAGATTCGCCATCTTGCGAGCGCTGTTCTGGAATTTGAGCGCTATGATCCGCGCACAGAAGTCCCCTCGGGTCACCGAGTCGGACGCCTTGCACTTGGTTCTCGCCCTCGCCAGCTGTCGCCCTCTAATTGAGCAAGATGAGCGGTGAGCAGAGAGGGTTGGGAGTTGAGGAAATGATCAGGAGTGGGGCGAGGAGTGGTCGAGGCCCAGCACTCTCCCTCTCGTCGACAAGGACGAGGAGGATGAGAAAGAGGAGGAGGAGGAGGAGAGGGAAGGGTGAAATGAGGGGAGCGATGGATGAGAGGAGGGGAGGGATGAGAGGGCGGCAGGTAGCTCCCGGAGTGAGCGGGGAGTGGCGTATGGACCAGGTGCATCCACTAGGTATGCGTCGATGCACACCTGTTCGAGACAACGTGGGAGGGACGAACATGAGAGAGTGGGGAGAGGAAAGGTGGGAGGGAAGGAAGATGAGAGGGTGGAGAGACAGGGAGTTAAACTCAGCGTGTTGAGGTGCAGAGACGTTTTTATGTGACTTGCCTTCGGAAGCCAAGGTGGATGGTGCACCATTCAAGTACCTGGTGCTGATGTCTTGGGTGGGTGGGGCTGATGGCTTGGGTGGGTGGGGCTCATGTCTTGGGTGGGTGGGGCTCATGTCTTGGGTGGGTGGGGCTCATGTCTTGGGTGGGTGGGGCTGATGTCTTGGGTGGGTGGAGCCTTGGCGTGCCTTGCCTTTCCGTGCATGCCGTGGGTGCCCGGCAATCGCCTCAATGCTTTTGACTCATAGAAAAAAATAAAAACCAAACCGTTATACACTCACTACACAACCGACCCCCTCACATGCACACCCGCCGCCACTCTTACCTGGGTCAGCCCTCCGAAGGACGGGAAGAAGCTGTCGCAACCCACCCAACCCATGTCAGCCCCTCCAAAAGACAACAATACCTGGCCGTCGCAGCGCACCCCACCCCCGGGTTGAGCGCAGAACACACAAAGAGAGAAGACCCACTCACCTCAAAACCAGCCCTCACTTGCACACCGCCGCCTTCCCAAGCCATGTCCTCCCCTCCCAAGGAGTGGAAGAGGCTGTCGCAGCACACCCCCAGGTTGAGGGAGAAACAGACCCAATCATCTCGCCCTCATCCCAGCAACCCATCCCCTCACCTGCACACAGCCGCCGCTCCAACCCATGTCCTCCCCTCCGAAGGACGGGAAGAGGCTGTCGCAGCACACCCCCGGGTTGAGGGTGGAACACACGAGGAAAACGCAGAGCCAATCACCCAATAGCCAACCTCACCTAAATACCTAACAATCACCTCTCACCTGCACACCGCCGCCGACCCAGCCCATGTCCTCTCCTCCGAAGGAGGGGAAGAGGCTGTCGCAGCACATCCCCGGGTTGAGCGAGAAGAAGGTGGTATCGTTGAGGGCATTGTCCGCCATGATGCTGTCGCACGTGTCCCCGGCCTGCACCGTGTACCACTGTGTGCACATGGGTAGATCAGCGCCGTTGCCCTCTGAGACACACAGCTGCAGGAAGAGGAGGTGGGGCATGGGGGAAGGGAGAGTGGGTGCCATGGTGCTCTCACATGTGTCCCCCAACTGCCCCGTGTTCCACACCGTGCACATGGGTAAGTCCGCTCAATTGCCCTCCGACACACACGGCTGTAGGGAGAGTAAGGAGTGCAGGGACATGTGCTTGCAATGGGAGCATGACATTTGTTGCTCTCAAAACCCGCGCTCATCACTCCGCCTCACCTGCTGATTCTCGCAAGGAGAAATGTCCCCAGTGCTATCCATCCAGTTGACGCCCGGGTTCAACGCCACCAACCGATCCATGGTCCACAACCAAATCCACCAAACGGCTGCCAATGTACATACAATCCTGATGGTTCTGGTGGGGAGCGTTGCCTGCAGAGGCATCCGTGCAGCTGACGCCCGGGTTTAGCACCACCAGGTGATCCACAGTCAGCCCAAGGCACTCCCTGAACCCTAAATCTGATCACCACTCTGTCTCTCTCACCTGCTGGTTCTCATGGGGAGCGTTGCCTGCAGAGGCATCCGTGTAGCTGACGCCCGGGTTCAGCACCACCAGCTCCACCAGCTCCACCAGCTCCACCAGCTGTCTGCAGGGCAGTTGATCCTTGGGTTCAGCCTCGTCAATAGCCAACCACTTGAAGCTTAAATGCTGCAGCCAAACCGACTAACCTGCTGGTTCTCGCGGGGAGCATTGTCTGCAGAGGCATCCGTGCAGTTGACGCCCGGGTTCAGCGCCACCAGCTCATCCACAGTCAGCCCAAATGCATCCGCCACAGATTCGCACGAGTCCTCGGGGGTCCAGGAGTAGAACGAGCCGCAGTGCACGGAACCCATGAGAGGCGGCACCACGCTCACTTCCGTGTTGGCTGGAATGGTGTCGCAGTAGTCCATCTCCTGGTGGGGTGGGATGCATGGGGTGATAGGGAGTGCATAGGATGGGAGAAGGGTGCTAGGGTTGAGTCCTCCGGGGTCCAGGACTAGAACGAGCCGCAGTGCACGGAGCCCATGAGAAGCGGCACCACACTGACTGTTGTGTTGGCGGGAATGGAGTTGCAGTAATCCACCTCCTGGTGGGTATGGGTGTGCATGGAGGGAGAAGTGAGCAAGCGTTGGGTCCTCGGGGTCCAGGAGAAGAATAAATCGCATTTGACAGAGCCCATGCGTGAGACATGGAGTGAGACATGGAGTGAGACATGGAGTGAGACATGGAGTGAGAGATGGAGTTAGACATGGAGTGAGGCATGGAGTGAGACATGGAGTGAGACATGGAGTGAGACGTGAAGGAGCACTTGCTCGGTGAAGGAACATCTGGGAAGGAACAGCTGGGGAGGAAAATTTGGGGAGGAACATCTGGGGAGGAACATCTGGGGAGGAAGAGCTCACCAGTTGGGGGTTTTGAGCAAGGAATGCCTCCTCAGTGAGGCCAAAGAGCTGGTAGACAAGGGGGCAGTCCACGTCCACCGGGAAGGAGAGGGTGGTGGGGGAAGATGTGGCTGGAGGGAGGTCCAGTTGGGGGGGGATGAACCGGGGGTGGGGACAGATGAAAGGGGGTTGAGCATAGATGAAAGTGGGATTACGTGTGGGCAGAGGAAGGTGGAGAAAGGAAGGGGTGAGAGGGCAGGGGTGAGAGGGCAGGGGTGAGAGGGCAGGGAAAGGAGAGGCTGGAGCGGGGAGAGGGGGCGGGGGGTAGAGATAATGTGCAAGAGGGCAGTCAAGGTACAGAGGAAGGGTGGAGGGAGGAAGGAGATGGAAAGCAGGAGGCAGAAAGAAAGGCAGTAAGAAATGCAGAAAGGTGAGCGAGAAGCAAAAGAACAAGGGTGGGCCAATACAAGGATGGCTTAGGTTGGCTGTACCGTACACACACAAAAAAAGGGCTTTGGTTAAAAGGAAACTGACTTGGGACGCATGTGGGGGAGCCGTTGGGACGAACCCCTTGGACGAATCCTGGTGGGCAGAGGCAAACATAGCCGCCCACTTGGTCGTTGATGCACGTGCCGACTGCACACGGGTTCTCGTCTTGCACGCTGCACACGTCAGCTGGAGAAGGGACCAATGCGGAGAGGGGGAAGGGGAGGATCCTTGTCATTTTGGCTGCCTAACGTGCCGACAGCACATGGATTTTCCCCTTGCAATCTGCATACGCCAGCTGAAAGGAGAGGAGAGGGGGAGGGAGGGGGAGGGGGAGGGCGAGGGGAAGGTGTGTTTTCGTCCTGCACCCAGCAGACGTCAGCTGAAAGGGGAGAGGGGGTGGGGGGGGGGAGTGGGGGGTTGAGGGGGAGGGGAAGGGAGGGGAGGGGAGGGGAGGGGAGGGGAGGTGCAGGTGGGGGAAGATGGCACGTGGCAAGTGGGGAACAAGGAATGTGAGCTGGGCGTTTCTGAAGCCATTTCCATCATACCAACAGCGGGCAGAGCGAGCGAGCTGGGCGACCACATGGGAATACATGGGAACCGACGCACATGGGGGAATAGAGCCGTCCCTCCCTTTCAGCAGCACCCGTACGTCCCCTGGACTACCAACTCACCCCACACACACGTCTGCGCGCCACCCCTGTCAGCCGCAGGCAGAAATAGCGGCTTCAGACACTTGCAAGTGTAGGTGCTATTCGCCCCGGGCACACATATGCCTCCCCCGCATGGGTTCTGATGCGACTTGCAGGGGGAACAGGCTGGAGAGTGGAGGGGGGGGAGGCAGATGGGGGGAGGCAGATGGGGGGAGGCAGATAGGGGGAGGCAGATGGGGGGGGGGGGAGAGATGGGTGTGCGGGAGCACGGGAATGGGTTCGAACGCCAGGCAGCAGTCACGTGTGCCTCCCCCGCATGGGTTCTGGTGCAACTTGCTGCCGGGTGAACATGCTGGAGAATGGAGGGGAGGGAGGCACATGGGGGGAGGCAGAAGGCCTATGGGGGGGAGGCAGATTGGGGGAGGCAGATTGGGGGGAGGCAGATTGGGGGGGGGGGGGGGGAGAGATGGGTGTGAGAGAGCCCGGGGATGGGCGAGAACGCCAGGCAGCAGTCACATGTGCCGGTCCCGCAGGCGCGAGTGGCAGGGCGAGGCAGCTGAATTGCGGAGGGGGGTGAGGGGGGTGGAAGAGGTCACGGGCCAAAGTGTACTTGACCTAGCGCAACGAGACAAGACCTTGACTGAGCGCAACGAGCAAAACGCGAAAATAAATTAAGGATTGGGAAATGGGTCAGAGTCAATCAAGGTTCGAGCGATGCACAGAGTCAAGTGGTCAGTGATTGAGCTTTGAGCGTGGAAATTGAAGGTCGCTCGGATGATAAAGCGTGAACAAAACCAATAGTTCCAGGGGGTTGTGTGTCCAGAAACTGCACTGCACGTAGCATCTGCACACTAGCCTTCTTTAACAGGGTCAATTCCCCTTACTCTTGATGACAGGGTAGATGGCCGGCACGGAGTGAATGCCGCAGTTGCCACTGCCTCCTGTCATGGCCATCGCCATGTGGCCCTGCAAGAACGGAGGGAGACATAGGGAGAGGAGAGAGGGTTTTTGAGTCGACTCAAAAGACTCAAAAGTCATCGTGCCAATGCCTCCTGTCAGGGCCATCGCCCTGTGACCCTGTAAGGGACTCAGAGGGAGAAGACTGGAGGAATGGGGAGGAGAGGAGGGATGAGCAGATGGAGGGTAGAGGAGAAGATCGATGCAATCGTGGAACAGACGGAGTACGCATGCGTTAATGGGGACACGCCAATATACACGCTATGTGTAAATTAATGCTACATTTACGAAGGTGTCCGGAATCACGACCATGCAACTCACCTGGACGGCCCGCTAGGTGCCCCAGGCGTTGCGCAGCATCCAGTAGACCCGACTCTACTTTTGAGGCGTCTCAAAAATAGACTCCAAAAACCTGGACGGTCCACTTGGTGGCCCAGGCGTTGCTCCCAGCAGCATTCAGTACGCCCGACTCTCCACTATGCCGTTCCCCACCCCTGCTTGCGCACACCCCTGCACCGCACCTCGACGCCCCACGTGGTTACTCACCTGGATGCCCCACGTGGTTACTCACCTGGATGCCCCACATGGTTACTCACCTGGATGCCCCACTTGGCGCCCCAGGAGTTGCGCAGGATCCAATACGCGCCCCATTGGCCGATGTTATACCCCATCACCAGGACGCTGTGGTCCACCCCGCTGCCGCACACGCTGGGTCGCTGTATATTTTCTGAAAAGGAAGGGGAGAGGGGATGAGAGGGCATGAGGGGGCAGGAGGACAGGGAGATGGGGATTCACCATGTACCAGCAGCACACTGTGGTGTGGTTCAACCCTGCTTAGACATGGGCAAAATGCGATTGCGATTTAAATCGCATCGCATGCAGGTGCGATGATTTAAAAAGCGATGCGATTTTAAATCGCATCGCGCGATTTATTTTTTCAAAATTAATACATCGCACATCGCGTTTTGCCCGCGATGTAATTAAAAATCGCAAGCGATGTTTTATTAAATCGCGGGATGCGGTATTAAATCGTATCGCATTTCTGGAGGTTTTTAAAACAAGTCTGCAAAGATGGAAAAAAAAAGCGACTTCTGAAAACTGGAACACGGGATGGCGTGCGGGCATTAACGACTAAAAATACCGTTCACAGTGGGTTTCACACAAATGCGAGCCCCGTGGTAAGGGCCCGACTTTTGTAGCTTAAATAAAGTAAGTGCATGGGTTTGAAACGGGGGGGGAGGGGGGGGGAAGGGGGGGGAGCAGCTGCCAGCTGGAGGGTGTGGGGAGTATGAGGGTGCGGGAAAGGAGGGAGGGGGGTTTAAAGGGGGGGGGGGGAGGGGAGGGGAGGGGAGGGGAGGGGAGGAAGCAAGCATGATGCATAGTCATCGGTCTATCACGTTGTCAATATAAATAAGGTAATGTCCTATCAGTTCCCGAACCCCCCAGCAGCACGCTAGCCCTCAAAGCCCTGGACCTATCTCAAGGCCCAGCTCCCACGCCTCGTCGGCCGTCTCGACATCTTCGGCTGCTATCGCGCCATCAAGCCGCTGTCCAGGGTGAGAGGCAATCCATGACTTCAGCATCATGCAAGCACGGATTCGCTCCGCACCCAAGCGGTAGCGCTGCCAGTGGATGAGGTTGCGGCCCTGTGAGAACAGGCGCTCGCAGGGGGCTGAGGTGGCCGGGATGGCGAGGTAATCCCGAGCCATGCGCTGCAACGCTGGAAGCTCCTGGTGGACCTTCCAGAACTGCAAGGGGCAGTCGTGCGATTCCGCCAAGGGGAGTGACAGGTACTGTTGGATCTCGTCCTGCACCGATGAGATCTGTGCGGCCCGCACTGTTGCGAGGTGAGTAAACACACCCAAGTCCTCATCCTCCTCATCCTCGGACTCCCTCACATCCACTCCCATCCCGCTGCTGCCCCCCACTTCCGCTGCTGCTGCCCCCCTCTTCTCAGCCACCTCCTCTTCCACCTTTCTCTTGTACGTCTCCCACCTATCGCGCACCAACTGCTCCACCTCATCGGCATCCAACTCCTCCACCACCCTGGTGCTCCCTTCCACCATAGGCCGCTCAAACCACACTCGCTTCAGTGCCGGGTCCAAGAATGTAGCCACGTTGAGGTCATCGGTGCTGGAGTAGAAATAAGTGAGCATTTTCTCCAACGCCTGGGACACGCACCGTGCCATCACCGACTTCGGCTTCGCCGCTGCCAGCTTGCGCTCCAGCCAGTCCAGTACCCCATTGTACTGTGGCACCACACGCGCCACAGTTGGGTACACCGACCCCTCCGCCGCCAGAGTCACGTTGTTGAATGGCGCTAGGAATGCCATCAACTCCTGCAGTATCGCCCACTCATCGTCTATAACGGCCTTCTTTTCCAGGTCGGCCTGCTCCTTCTTGTTACACCCCTGGATTTGAGCAAACAAGGGTGTGTGGGGGGGGGGAAGGAGAGGGGAGCCGGGAACGGAGGGGGGACGAGGGGGCAATCGTTCTGGAAGGGGCTTGGAGTGTGGCGGGGGGGACACGGCCGGGCGATGGATGTAAGTAGGCGGCAGAGGGTTTGTGGTAACCAAGTTACATGACATACCTCCCTAGCCATGAAGGCCCTGATTGGGCCTTTGAGCTCGATCGCTCGCCGCATCATGGCGTGGGTGGAGCCCCAGCGCACCGGATTGTCCTGTTTCAACTTCAAGGGTTGCTTCCCAGGGAACTGGTGACGCTGCTCCTTCTCGAAGGCCGTCGTCTTGATCACTGAGAAGCCAATGCGCGACGCGAGGTTGCGCAGCTTCTTCAGCGGCGCTTCCACCTCCGGCACCCCACCCATAGCCTCCTGCACTGCGAGGTTATTGACATGGGCGAGGCACCTGCACCAAGCACAAGGTTTTGGAGGTTAAAACAAATGACCACGCCTTATCGAAGGGTTGGGGCAACTACGGCCTGCTTGGTGGAAAACCATAGGCAGCGAGAAATGGCAAGATGGCATACCGGACGTGGGCAGCCTTGCCGAACAAGGGGGTCGCGCGCGTCTTCCCATCTCCCTGATCCCCTGCCTTGAGAAGATCGAATGCCGCTCCGTTCACAGATGCGTTGTCGGTCGTGAGCGCCATACACCGCCCGGCAAGCCCCCAATCCTCGATCACCTCCTCCAGGATGTTGGCGACCATCCTCGCTGTGTTGCCTGCTTCAGATTCCATTGTGCATCGATGTAATGCGCAGTGATGCCCATGAAACCGATGTCGTTCTCCGCCGACCAAATGTCCGTCGTGTAGGAGATCGCACCCACCCCCTTGTCAGGCGCCAACTCGGCCTTGGCCAACTCCTTGCACTGTGCCGCCTGTCGCATGATGAGACGGGCCAGCTTGTGCCGCGAAGGAATGACTCCTGGCTGAGCAAGCCGGGGGTTGGCCTCACCCATGAGGCGGCGGAATTGATGGAAGGCGAGAAACGGTGAAACAAAGATGGTGAGGCCATGACGAGTGGAGGGCGAGGTAGGGATGTACTAAACAGGATAACATGACACAAGAACACGCCATGGGGAGGGTGGCTTGGACTCACACTGTCTCGCTCGACTGTGCAAAACGCAGAGTCGGTGTCGACAATGTACTCGACGAGCAGCTACTCCCACGCGGCAGGTCAAGGGGTTTCTGCATGTAGCGCATAATCCCGCGCCCCCCCTCCCTGCCGACCGAAGGCCCGTCTTCCTCCGCGTCCTCCAACTTGGGCCAGTATGCCGACCCCCACCAGGTACTGCCCCCGTCGGGGGCCTCACCCTCCCCAAACCCCCCCTTTGGTAGCTGGTCCCCGACCTTCATGTCCCCCTCCCGCCTTAGCCGCCTCAAGATGTCCCAATGAGCCCTGTGGTAACCGACCATGTGGGACCGCCCATTCGACGTGGTGCGGCTCGCGAAGCTCACTAGGAAGTTGCACATCCTACACCTCCTCCAACCTGGTGCTGACTCCTCCATGTCAAAACAAGCCGCCACACACAGTCGAGGTTCCTTCTCCACCTCCGTGGAGGAGCTCACATGACCCTGCTCAGTAGCCCCATGACCCTCACCACGGCCACCTCCCGCCCGCCCCCCCCACCTCCCGGCATCCACGGGAGCCCTAGCCGCACCTCGAAGACTCCCTCCTCCCCCTCCGCCCCCCCGCGCCTCGTGGAGGTATCTGGGTGACATGCCAGGCCTGCCGACATCCTCGCGCAGCAGTCCCTTCCGCCCCCTAGGCCGGCCCCGGGGACGGCCCCTGGGCGCCCCCCCCAACCCCCCATCCCCCTCTACAGGTTTACGTGCCTTCTTCCCCGAAGAACCGACCGAGGGAGAAGGCCCGTCATCCACCTTGCGCTTCCCCTTCTCCTCGCCGCCAGCTCCCCCATCCTCCTCCCTATCCCCCTCCTCCTCCGCCACAACGTCGTCGTCATCACCCTCCTCCTCCTCAGCCACCTCCTCATCCCCCTCCTCATAGGCAGTCCGCACCCCCTCCGCCGATGCTCGGATCCGCCAAGCATCCCCGTCCTCCGCCTCGTCCCTAACGGCCGCCTTGCCCGCAAGGGCGGGCTCCGTAGCATCGGCCGCGCCACTCCCCTGCGTCCCAATCCCGCCGTTGCCTGGGGCTCCTCCCATGTTCCCGTCGCCTTCCACCCCTAGCGAGGTACCCGCCTTAATCCCCTGCAGCTTCGCGAATGCCGCCTCCGTCATCATCCTGCGCTGCGCGCGTGCTTCCTTGCCCGTCAATGCGTGCGCTCCAGTCTGAGCATCCGGTTCATCCTCGCGGCCGCGACCCGCGCCACCACCACTCCTACCGCCTCCATGCCCTGCCCCTGCTCCACCCTGCTTGCCCATCGCGAGTTGTTAAAGCGCCTCCTCAACCTAAACCCTAAACCCTAAAGCGGCCGATTCGATGCGCGTCGCACGATAAACCCTGCAACTTGCGGCTAAATAAGATACGCAGTGCAGTAAACGGCAATGGCCGTGCGTCGTGGCTAGAATCTATCTGGCGAACGGTGAAAACTCTTGCGACGCCACAAACGCGGCAAATGCGTGCGCGAATGACGTGGCTCGACTAAAAGGCCATGCGGCGAGCAATCTAGTACGCGCCGTCTACAAATTTCAGCCACCAAAAACCGTGACGAACGGTGGGTTTTGGAGTAGTCAGAGGTGTGTGCAAAGCCCTAAAACGTACTCTCAAACGAAAGAGATTTTGAGAAATGCGTTTTGGGGCTTTGTGACTTTTCCCTATGTGCTGGCGAGATTTCGCGCTGCGATGTATTTCGATATCGCGCGCGATTTAATTTTAATCGCATATCGCGATTAAATCGCGATTTTCGGCCGCGATTAAATTGCTATTTAAATTAAATCGCGCGATAATAAAATCATTGCATCGCGCGATGATTAAAAAAAAAAAAAAAACATCTCCATCGCAAAAACGCGATTAATCGCGATGCGATGCGATGCGATGCGATTTAAATTGCTCATGTCTAACCCTCCTGCCGCACGCGCCAGGTCACCATAGATTCTCTTAAGTGGGAGGGGGGAGGACAAGAAGGACGGAGAGGAGAGGGAGGGGAGGAGTTGCACCACCGGATAAGGCGATGCCCCATCACCTGCACACTGTGATCCACCAGCCCTGCTGCCGCACACACTGGGAGTACAGTTTTGGAGGCATCCCCCTTCCCCCTCAAAGTGCGTGCAGACCGTGAGAGGGGGAATGCGCGGGGAGAAGAGAGGGCACGGGGCACGAGATGCGAGAGGCAGTATGGAAGGGGATGGCGTGCAAAGAGGAGAGTCCACGGTACGAGGGATGGTAACGAAACAAAGGTTGGAACAAGTGAATGATACACTCAACTCAACTCGGATCGAAGGTCGCTTCACTCGCCTCTCCTTGCTTCACTCGCCTCTCCTCGCTTCACTCGCCTCTCCTCGCTTCACTCGCCTCTCCTCGCTTCACGCGCCTCTCCTCGCTTCACTCGCCTCTCCTCGCTTCACTCGCCTCTCCTCGCTTCACTCGCCTCTCCTCGCTTCACTCGCCTCTCCTCGCTTCACTCGCCTCTCCTCGCTTCACTCGCCTCTCCTCGCTTCACTCGCCTCTCCGCGCTTCACTCGCCTCTCCGTGCTTCACTCGCCTCTCCTCGCTTCACTTGCCTCTCCTCGCTTCACTCGCCTCTCCTCGCTTCACTCGCCTCTCCTCGCTTCACTCGCCTCTCCTCGCTTCACTCGCCTCTCCTCGCTTCACTCGCCTCTCCTCGCTTCACTCGCCTCTCCTCGCTTCACTCGCCTCTCCTCGCTTCACTCGCCTCTCCTCGCTTCACTCGCCACAGCTCGTTCACTCACCTCAGTTGACCCTGTGTAGGTCTGGAAAGAAGGGTGGCTGCCTCGGACGAGCGCAATAGTGGGCTGAACCTGTGGCAGGGAGACAATGGGCGTCCAAAGAGGGGGAAAGAGGGACGTGAGGTGATAAACCCGTGGCAGGGAAAAGCCCTAAACCATGAATCGTAAACTGTTAACCCGAAGCCCTATACCTGAACCCTTAACTTTAGGTGTGCAAATGAGAGAAAACGCAATGGTGGGACTAGACTGTGGCAGGGAGCCAAAGGGGCCGAGGCAAAATGTTGGTGATTGGGAGGATCGCCGAGAGTGGATGGGAGGAGGGGGGATAGGAGGATAGAGGACGGTGGCAGTTTATAAACACCACCACCAACACTTACCTAAGCAACCAGGGCGCAGTGGCACTCACATTCACAGCCAGGAGAAGACCCATCCAGCCATAGAAGTCCACCTGGTCGTACCCTGTCACGCCTATGGTCGTTGCGTCCTTCGCCTGGGAGGGGCACAGAGAGCACAATGAGAGGGTGCAAATGCCAGAAAGGGTGACCAGGAATGGGTGAGTCGGAAGACCACCTGGTCGTACCCTGTCACGCCTATGGTCGTTACCTCCTTGGCCTGGGGAGCGATGGGACACAGAAGACGAACATGACAGCATGTCAGCATGGCAGCATGGCAGCATGTCAGCATGGCAGCATGGCAGCATGTCAGCATGTCAGCATGTCAGCATGTCAGCATGTCAGCATGTCAGCATGGCAGCATGTCAGCATGACAGCATGGCAGCATGTCAGCATGGCAGCATGGCAGCATGTCAGCATGTTAGCATGTCAGCATGTCAGCATGGCAGCATGGCAGCATGGCAGCATGGCAGCATGGCAGCATGTCAGCATGGCAGCATGTCAGCATGTCAGCAAGTACGGAACATGGTACTGTGCGACATCATTATATGAAACGTGGTAGCATGGCAGCATGGCAGCATGTCAACATGGCAGCATGGCAGCATGGCAGCATGGCAGCATGGCAGCATGTCAGCATGTCAGCATGTCAAGTACGGTACATGGTACTGTGCGACATCATAATATGAAACGTGGTAGCAGTGTGAACCACAAGTCCGCCCAGTCCTACCCTTCCCCCGTATCACCCCCCCCCCCCCAGCACCCACTGCACATTTCCCCTGCTCCCCTACCCTCCCCTGGTAACACCTCCCCCCCGTCTACGCGCACGGGAATGCAGCCTCAGTGGTGTCCCCCCCAACCCCCTCACTGCACACCCCCTCGCAGCCTTCCCCACCCCTCTTCGTTATCCTACGTCGCCCGCTTGCATTTCCCGGCCCTCTGCGCGTACGGGTACGCAGCGTAAGTGGCGATGCCCCCCCAAGAAGCACCCTCGCCCACTGCTCCTATCCCAGAGCCCACCTTCCCCAAAAGCACCCTCCCTCACCATACCTTCCCCTGGTTGCATTTCCCGGTCTTCTGCGTGTACGGGTACGCAGTCTCAATGGCGATGCCGCCCCACTGGTTGGTGGCGTCCACCATGGCGGAGAGGGGAGGCGAAGTCGCTGATTTGGACCACCAGCGAAACTCGAGGTCCTTGCGGGGGCCGACTCCCTGGAAACCAACGAGGGGGTTGGCACCAGGGGGGGACGAGTGTAACATCTGCGGACGGAAAACACCCTAGAGATTGTAAACGAATTCCGCTGCGCCTCTGGGTAACCTCGTTTTGACCCAGTGGGTAGCGAGGCGTCATAGGCGAGGCGGAGAGGGGAGGCGAGGCAGAGAGGGGAGGCAAGCAGAGGGGGGGGGCGAAGCAGAGGGGGGAGGCGAGGCGGAGAGGGGAGGCGAGGCGGAGAGGGGGGCCGAGGCAGAGAGGGGAGGCAAGGCTGAGAGAGGAGGCGAGGCGGAGGGGGGAGGCGAGGCGGAGAGGGGAGGCGAGGCTGAGAGGGGAGGCGAGGCGGAGAGGGGAGGCGAGGCGGAGAGGGGGGGCGAGGCAGAGAGGGGAGGCGAGGCTGAGAGGGGAGGCGAGGTGGAGGGGGGAGGCAAGGCAGAAAGAGGAGGCGAGGCTGAGAGGGGAGGCGAGGCGGAGAGGGGAGGCGAGGCAGAAAGGGGAGGCATGGCGGAGAGGGGTGGCGAGGTGGGGAGGGGAGGCGAGGCAGAGAGGGGCGGCGTGATGGAGAGGGGAGGAGAGGCATAGAGGAGAGGCAAGGCAGAGAGGGGAGGCGTGCCGGAGAGGGGAGGCAAGGCAGAGAGGGGAGGCGAGGCGGAGAGGGGAGGCGAGGCGTAGAGGAGAGGCAAGGCAGAGAGGGGGGGCGAGACAGAGAGGGGAGGCAAGTAGAGGGGGGAGGCGAGGTGGAGAGGGGAGGCGAGGCTGAGAGGGCAGGCGAGGCAGAGAGGGGTGGCGAGGTGGGGAGGGGAGGCGAGGCAGAGAGCGGAGGCTAGGCGGAGAGGGGAGGCAAGGCAGAGAGGGCAGGCAAGGCAGAGAGGGGAGGCAAGGCTTAGAGGGGAGGCGAGACAGAGAGGGGAGGCGTGGCGGAGAGGGGAGGCGAGGCAGAGAGGGGGGGCGAGTTAGAGAGGGGAGGCAAGCAGAGGGGGGAGGCGAAGCAGAGGGGGGAGGCGAGGCGGAGAGGGGAGGCGAGGCGGAGAGGGGAGGCGAGGCTGAGAGGGGAGGCGAGGCGGAGAGGGGTGAGGCGGAGAGGGGAGGCGATGTAATGTCTGCGGACGGAAAACACCCTAGAGATTGTAAACGCATTCCGCTGCACCTCTGGGTAACCTCGTTTTGACCCAGTGGGTAGCAAGGCGTTATACTGGTACCAGAGCCTAGGGTTCGAATCCCGGCTGGATACATTTTCCGCGCACGGCTGAGGTCGTGGCGAGAACTCGAATGTGTGAAAATACAGCTGCGGTTGTATCTAGTCGCGAACCTAGCAAACGATTCTGGTAACCCCTGTGCATCACCAGCGAAGTCGCTGACTTGGACCACCAGCGAAACTCGAGGTCCTTGCGGGGGCCGACTCCCTGGAAACCAACGAGGGGGTTGGCACCAGGGGGGGACGAGTGTAACATCTGCGGACGGAAAACACCCTAGAGATTGTAAACGCATTCCGCTGCGCCTCTGGGTAACCTCGTTTTGACCCAGTGGGTAGCGAGGCGTTATAGGCGAGGCAGAGAGGGGAGGCGAGGCAGAGAGGGGAGGCAAGCAGAAGGGGGAGGCGTGGAGGAGAGGGGAGGCGAGGCGGAGAGGGGAGGCGAGGCGGAGAGGGGGGCCGAGGCAGAGAGGGGAGGCGAGGCTGAGAGGGGAGGCGAGGCGGAGGGGGGAGGCGAGGCAGAGAGGGGAGGCGAGGCTGAGAGGGGAGGCGAGGCGGAGAGGGGAGGTGAGGCAGAAAGGGGAGGCGTGGTGGAGAGGGCTGGCGAGGTGGGGAGGGGAGGCGAGGCAGAGAGGGGAGGCGTGGCGGAGAGGGGAGGAGAGGCGTAGAGGAGAGGCAAGGCAGAGAGGGGAGGCGAGGCTGAGAGGGGAGGCAAGGCAGAGAGGGGAGGCGAGGCGGAGAGGGGAGGCGAGGCTGAGAGGGGAGGCAAGCAGAGGGGGGAGGCGAGGCAGAGGAGGGAGGCGAGGTGGAGAGGGGAGGCGAGGCTGAGAGGGGAGGCAAGGCTGAGAGGGGAGGCGAGGCGGAGAGGGGAGGCAAGGCAGAGAGGGGAGGCGAGGCGGAGAGGGGAGGCGTGGCGGAGAGGGGAGGCGAGGCGGAGAGGGGAGGCAAGGCAGAGAGGGGAGGCGAGGCGTAGAGGGGAGGCGAGGCGGAGAGGGGGGCCGAGGCAGAGAGGGGAGGCAAGGCTGAGAGAGGAGGCGAGGCGGAGGGGGGAGGCGAGGCGGAGAGGGGAGGCGAGGCTGAGAGGGGAGGCGAGGCGGAGAGGGGAGGCGAGGCGGAGAGGGGAGGCGTGGCGGAGAGGGGAGGCGAGGCGGAGAGGGGAGGCAAGGTAGAGAGGGGAGGCGTGGCGGAGAGGGGAGGCCAGGCGGAGGGGGGAGGCGAGGCAGAGAGGGGAGGCGAGGCGGAGAGGGGAGGTGAGGCAGAAAGGGGAGGGTGGTTAGCGTATAGGGACAGAGGGGAAGCAAGGAGGGCTAGTGCATGGGGCGAGAGGGGACGGCAGGGTGGTTAGCACACATGGACAGAGGGCCAGCATGGTGGATTAATGCACCAGGGGGAGAGGGGAAGTCTGGGTGGTTAGCGCTCAGGGAAAGAGGGGCAGCAAGAGGGGTTACTGCATAGGGTGAGAAGGGAAGGCAGGGTGGTTAGTGCACAGGGGAAGAGGGGCAGCAAGGGGGTTTACTGCACGGGGTGAGAGGGGAAGGCAGAGTGGTTAGCATACAGGGACAGAGGGGCAGCAAGGAGGGTTAGAGGACGGGGTGAGAGGGGAAGGCAGGGTGGTTAGCGCATTGGGACAGAGGGGCAGCAAGGTGGGTCATTGTATGGGGTGATAACTAAGGGTTATGGGATAAAGGCGACACGAGTTTCCCACAAAGACCCACCCACCTCCCCCTCACCACTGCCCCCCGCCCCCCCCCCTCTTCTACGTCTCCACATCATCATGACCCTACTCCCAGTTTCGGGCTCCAGGACCAGCGCAATGGCGCATCCCAGCATAAACTCCCTCGGCTACGCTTTCTTTTGCGCAATGCAACGACTGGGCCTTTGTGCTCAGATTCCATCCCAAAAGCGACTACAAAAGATGACCACCAGCACATGCATGATGTAGGCATTGCAGCAAAGTGTATTTTGAGCCATTGGCCCAGCCCAATGACTTTCACTAGGTTAGTTGAGAAACTGTCAGGAGGCATCCCGCCTTGCATTATCGGCATGGAGGGAAATGAGAGCCACATCTTCTCCCACAACCCCCCACGCACAGTGCATGTTTGTAGTATTACACATAGAACGTAATAGTGCGAAGCTCCGAGCTAGCTGGCTGGCATTCTTGAATAATAACACTCCGGATTCAAGAAGATGCCGCAATAGGAAACCCCCACCAGAGAGGGGTGGCTGAGGGGAGCAATCCGAGACAAAACAGCACCCAGGTGAACGGGGGAGACAACCTGCAAGCCATAACGAAGCAGAAAACAAACAAGGATACTAAGGCAAGAGTGGGGAACATGGATGCGATGATGACGAATCCAAGTGAATGTGCGAAGGGGGAAGGTTCATCTGGTGCTGGTGATTACAACTCTATGCCTGATGTGTCGAGAGGAGATGGACGACGCGGGTTAGGATAGATGCTAAGTCTGAGAGGGTAGGTCAGGGTGGTTAGTGCACAGGGCCAGAGGGGAGGCAATGTTGGATAGTGCACCGGGGGGAGAGGGGAAGTCAGAGTGGTTAGCGCACAGGGTCAGAGGGGCAGCAAGGAGGGTTAGGGCATCGGGTGAGAGGGGAGGACAGGGTGGTTAGCGCACAGGGACAGAGGGGCAGCAAGATGGGTTAGGGCACCAAGGGGAGAGGGGAAGCAAGGGTGTTTAGTG